CACCACACTGGGTGGTGCAGCTCTCCTTGACTTCCATTCCTATTACCTGGCAGCACAACTTTCCCACTTCTACAACTTAAGTCTGAAGCTAATCATTACCAGATTCTAGTTTGTAGGCAACCAAGTTGTTTTCATACTCTCCCCTACAGGTGATTCTAAGGGGAAGCGGGCAGGTGGGAGCCCTGATAATACAAGAGTCCCTATTACAACACCATAGAAATGTTTGGGAATTAGCTATGAGGTGAATTAACATCCCCCCCAATCACTCCCATGTTCCCATCTGGTACAATACCCAGTTGCCTGAGCCAATCTGCATTCCCAATATTGATTTATGGACCTCTAAAAGGGTCCTATACCTCTACCAGGTGCTCTCAACCTCTGGGCTGAAAACATTTCAAACCCTTTGATCTCCCAAACTATATGATATTTAGATATCTGCAGCTCTGGCATGCCCTACATGCTCAGTTCCCTGACGTTCAGTCTCTGTCACTGATAGACATCATCCCAGGCACAGAACCCACTAAGTTGATATCATCATTGTATAGTGCTCTGCATACTCCAACAGTAGACAGAGTTAAGACTCGTTGGGAGCCAGATCTTGGGTCTATGGAGGCAGAAGAGTGTGACAAGATATTGGAAGGTACCAAGCTAGTTTCACCTAGGCTATCTAATAGACTTATGCAACTTTATATTGTACACCGAGCCTAATTCACCCCACTCCGAATTTCTAATTTCTAGATATCACCCAGAGCAGAGCCCACTCTGTCCTCATTAATAAGAGGCTTCAGATACCTTTTTCCACCTATTATGGTCCTGCCCTGTTATGCAGACCTACTGGGTGCAAATTATTACATTTTTGTATGATTGCATGGGCTCCCCACTTCCATTAGACCCTAAACCATGCCTGCTGGTCCTACTTTTCACAACTGGAAGCGGACAAGTTTCTCACCACTTTCTTACATGAAACCCTCTTAGTCCTTGGAAACTTGTTGCATGTCACTGGATGCAGGCTGCCCCCCCCCCTACATTTTAAGCCTGGTTGATAGAAGTTCATTCTACATTCCCTTGCAAAAAATTGGTTTATATTTACAGGGGCTGTCCTACGAAATATAATAAAATATGGGACAGGTGGCTTGAACAGCCAGATGTGCGACCTGATACTGATTCAGGGGATCTGTGTACAGGCCTTGGACTTCCCCTTTATTTGCACATATCCATCTAATACTATTTTTCCTGCCACCTCATCTCACTAGATTGTACTGGTGTAGAGGGGTGCATGGCCCCTTTCTCTTCCTCTGGCCCCACAAAAACTTATATGGCTCCTAGACCATGGACCATGTACAGCTCTATGTATTTTTCAAGTGTAATGCATCTATTGTCAATTGTATCTACTGTCACATGATACACCTACAGGTGAAACTCGAAAAATTAGAATATCGTGCAAACTAATGTATGAGATAGATTCAATACATGCAAAGCAAGATAGTTCAAGCTGTGATTTGTCATAATTGTGATGATTATGGCTTACAGCACATGAAAACCCCAAATCCACAATCTCAGAAAATGAGAATATTACATGCAATCAATAAAACAACATGATACAAGAGATAATTAGCAGTTGTGAACATGATACAAAAGATGGTTAGAGATTGTGGACATGATACAGGAGATGGTTAGAGGCTGTGAACAGGATACAGGAGATGGCTAGAGGCTGCGGACATGCTACAGGAGATGGCTAGAAGCTGCAGACATACTACAGGAGATGGTTAGAGGCTGTGGACACAGTAAAGTTGATGGTTAGAGACTATGGACATACTACAAGAGATGGTTAGAGGCTGTGGACATCCTACAAGAGATGGTTAGAGGCTACGGACATACTACAGGGGATAGCTAGAAGCTGCAGACATACTTCAGGAGATGATTAGAGGCTGCAGACATGGTACATATGATGGTTAGAGGCTGCGCACATACTGCAGGATATGGTTAGGGGCTGTGAGCATACTACAAGAGATGGCTAGGGGCTTCTGACATACTACAGGCGATGGTTAGAGGTTGTGAACATACTACAGGAGATGGTTAGAGGTTGTGAACATACTACAGGAGATGGTTAGAGGCTGTGGACATACTACAAGAGATGGTTAGAGGCTTCAGACATACTACAGGAGATGGTTAGGGGCTGCACACATGGTACAGCAGATGGTTAGAGGCTTCAGACATACTACATGAAATGCTTAATTAGAATAAAACTGCGCTCGGTGCTCAAACTGGACCAAGCAAAGTGAATCATACATAAACAAATGAGTAAAAAGTGGTGTACAACAGCCGCACTCAGAACAACATAAAAATACGATTGTCACAAATATTCTATGCAAAAACTGCACTGTGTATACAGTAAATCTCAGTGTTAGTAAATCATCAGCTAATTGAAATCATTAGTCCTATCCAACAAAAATAACACCTAAAGTGAACAGTTCATAATAAGTCCATCAGTGCAGTATATCATGCATTCCGGAGCATCCTTCCACCTTGTCGCACATGATGTATCTTCACAGAGGAACCACAGATATAGATATCTAGAAGATAAGTAGACCCCAAATTATAGGTGATCTAAAACAGCATTTTTTTTTATCAGGGATCATCCACCCAAAGCTCAGAGACCATCATTGAAGATCACAGCAGCAGGATGTTCCAAAGGCACTTGGGAACCACAGGGCACATCAGCAGGGATTCAGTACCATCACTTTACCTCAGCCATGCATGTTATTCTGAAAAAAGAAATAATCAGACATCCCATAGTGTAACCTGTAGCTTTTATTATATCTATATATTGAAATATCTACTCCCATTAAGATGTTAAAGAATTGCATATAGTAAATCCAGCACTGCCGCCACCTCCAGCGGGTGTGATGATGTCAACACAGGCCCCACCTCCGACATGTTTCATCCAATGATATTGTTTTATCGATCGATTTGTTTATAACCAGTCCTTCTGGCTGTTGCTGAATACTGATTCATAATAAATATTTGTGTAGGTTTTATTGCTGTCTGTATTTCTGTTGGGGACTATCCTCTCATTGCTGGTCCAGTTGTTACAGGGACTGAACCTATGTGGAAGTCTCCCTAGTGGAGACACAGGCAGCAAGGTAAAATTATTTTTTCCTAACTCTGTTCACACTTTTTAAGTCTGCTTCCTGCGTTTGTCAGCTGAATTTTGTGTGTTTTTTTAATAGGCAACAGCAATTACAAACATTGAAGACATGCTGCAAAGGACAAATTTAGTACCAGAGGGCACTCTTATTTACCTGAGTGAGAGCAGTGAGATGTACATTCGTGTTCAAGGGGGGTGGAGAAAAGTTCAGGTACATATAGTATATTTGTTTATTCAAATATTTGTATTTATTATTCTACTGTCTTTGACATGATGTTAAATCTGACAAAACACAAGAAGACTTGAATTCTCATTCTGATCTTCCAGGAGCCTGATGTATTTGTGTACTCTTACAAAGACTAAATATATGGTCAGATGCAAAGTCTCTTCTGTTCAGTATCTGCTTCTTTACTGAATGATTATAGACCAACAGTAAAGTGGTGTGCTCATGCATTATACATTCTAGGGAGTAAAGGGTTGAGAAAGATCTGGGTGGTCTGGTAGATCATAAACTTAATAATAGCATACAATGCCAAGCTACAGTTTTGAAAGCTAGTAAAATACACTGCCCAAAAAAAATTTAAGGAACACTTTTTAATGAGAGTATAGCATCAAGTCAATTAAACTCCTGGGATATTGATCTGGTCAGTTAAGTAGCAGAGGGTGTTGTTAATCAGTCTCAGCTGCTTTAGTGTTAATGAAATTAACAATAGGTGCACTAGATGGGCAACAATGAGACGACCTCCAAAACAGAAATGGTTTTGCAAGTGGAGGCCACTGGTGCCCTGTGCTTTTCACAGATAAGAGCAGGTTCAACCTGAGCACGTGACAGACGTGAAAGGGTCTGGAGAAGCAGTGGAGAACAGTATGCTGCCTGTAACATCATTCAGCATGACTATTTTGGTGGTGGGTCAGTGATAGTCTGGGGAGGCATATCCATGGAGGGGCACACAGACCTCTACAGGATAGATAATGGCATCCTGACTGCCAGTAGGTATCTGGATGAAATTCTTGGACCCGTTGTCAGACCCTACGCTGGTGCAGTGAGTCCTGGGATCCTCCTGGCGCACGACAATGCGAGAGTATTCAGGCAGTTCTTGGAGGACGAAGGATTTGATACCACTGAACGGCCCTCAAACTCCAAAGGAACACCTCTGGGATATCATGTTTCAGTTCACCTGATACCACCAGGTTGCACCTCAGACTGTCCAAGAGCTCAGTGATGCCCTGGTCCAGATCTGGGAGGAAATACCCCAGGACACCATCTGTTGTCTCATTAGGAGCATACCCCAACATTTTTAGGCATGCATATTAGCACGTGGGGCCCATACATACTACTATTTTGAGTTGCTTCAATGAAATTGGAGCAAAATGGACTAACCTGCTGTATCATTTTTTTCACTTTAAATTTGGTGTCTTTGAATTCAGTCCTCTGTAGGTTGATAATTTTCATTTTCATCATACGATAGGACATCCTTACATTCCTAACACATTACCCAGTCCATATCAGTATAGATATCCAGCATGATATTTTTCCCCATTGAGATCTGATGCGTTTTCAAAGTGTTCCTTTAACACAGCAGTGTACAGGTGGAGTATCTCACAGAAGTGAGTACACCCCTCACATTTTTGTAATTTTATTATATCTTTTCATGTGACAACACTGAAGAAATGACACTTTGCTACAATGTAAGGTAGTGAGTGTTCAGCTTGTATAACAGTGTAAATTTGCTATCCCCTCAAAATAATTCAACACACAGCCATTAATGTCTGAACCGCTGGCAACAAAAGTGAGTACACCCCTAAGTGAATGTCCAAATTAAGCCCAATATTTTGTGAGGCCACCATTTTTTGCCCCTGGAGTCTTCTTCCACTCCTTCATGATGACATCACAGAGCTGGTGGATGTTAGAGACTTTGCGCTCCTCCACCTTCCATTTGAGGATGCCCCACAGATGCTCAATAGGGTTTAGGTCTGGAGACATGCTTGGCCAGTCCATCACCTTTACCCTCAGCTTCTTTAACCTCCCTGGAGGTATTCCCGAGTGTAGCTTGGGGTAAAGTTTCAGCACCACAAGCGGTAACCCCGAGCTACACTCGGGAATACCCTGCAGCGTTGCTCCGGGATCCCTCGATCACTTACCTTGTCCTGCGCTCCCGCGATGTCCCCCCTGCAGCGTCCCCGGCAATGTCCTCCGACTGATGCCGGCATCTGTCTTCCGAGTTCCGTTCCCTGCAACGTCAGGACGTACGGGAAAGGAACTGGCAGGAAATTTAAAAATATCAAAAAGTGACTGTGAGGGAGGGTAGGCAGGACAGAGCACACAGAGCAGATGGCAAGCGCACAAAGCTTTATTGAGACAAAAAATGACAGTCACTCAATGGGGGGATTGCAGGGAGGGTGACCTTGCCAATAGGGGGACAGCAAGGAGGGGCTAAAATACTTGTAGTCCAGTACCTAGGGCAAAGGAAAAGTCTCCGTAGCAGATTGTAATCCAACAGGGGGGTAGGGGGTCATCACAGGAACAGTTCAGGTAAAACAGGGCAAACAACACACCCACAGATCCGACAGCGTACCTAGTCTCCCAGGGATACGAAAGTAGGACACAGGTACATGTTGGTGTCCGGAATAGGCGAGTGGTCTCTCCATTTAGGCTGGGGGTCTCAGGTAGCTGGCAGGCAATCTCCCCCTCGGCTGGGGGTCTCAGGCAGCGGGCAGGCAATCTCCCCCCTAGACTGGGGTCTCAGGCAGCTGGCAGGCAATCTCCCCCTGGACTGGGGTCTCAGGCAGCTGGCAGGCAATCTCCCCCTAGACTGGGGTCTCAGGCAGCTGGCAGGCAATTTCCCCCTCGGCTGGGGTCTCAGGCAGCTGGCAGGCAATCTCCCCCTAGACTGGGGTCTCAGGCAGCTGGCAGGCAATCTCTCCCTCAGCTGGGGTCTCAGGCAGCTGGCAGGCAATCTCCACCTAGACTGGGGGTCTTGGCAGAGTCTAGCCATGCGGGTCCCGCCGCAGCTGGGCTCCCTCAATGGCTGCGCAGCGGATAAGACTGACTGGGGAGCCCGGCATCAGCCTTCTTAAGCTGGTGTAGGACGCTTCCCGGTCGCCCTGGCAACCAGGGGGGGCCGAGGGTGGCGTGCCTCGTTGCTCGGCAATGAGGCTCGGCTTCAAAGAGCGGAGGCAGGACGAGAGACTGCAGGGGGGCGATCATCCTGAAAGGGGGGAAGTAGCTAATGAAGTTTGGGCTAGAATACACAAATGAACACACAAAGGACAGAGAGGAAATTGTCTAACGAAGTTTGGGTTGGAATGCATTATTGCAGGGGAGGAAAGGCATTAATTGAATTTGGGAACATAAAGCAGGATGACAGTGGATTGAATTTGGGAACATTTGGCAGGATGACAGAGGGGAAATGCATTGATTGAAGTTGGGAACATTTGGCACAAGAACGGAAGGAATAATTAAGGATGTACTTCATTTGGGCACAAGGGATTAAGTATGGGATTAAGGAAGAAATTAATAATTGGGGCTGGCAGAGCACCTATATTGTGACAGTAACATTCACCAAATGCACTAAAATCACATAGTAAAACATTACTGTATCAAAGAATTTCACATACATTTTGTCCCTAGTGCTTTGTCCTGTGCCCTGCCTGCATCTTTACTGTTCTTTCTGCCCTGAAACTGAGAAATGTCCATGGCATCCAAAAAGGGTCCCTTTAGGTCAAAAGCGGTTTTAGACCAGCTAGAGAACAGCGATAGTAAATTAGAACTACTTGCAGAATTGAGTGTTAATGATTCGTGGGGAAATTCGTCATCAGACACTGAAAACGATTTTGCGACTTTGCTCAGTGATGTGCAAACTTGGCGCTATATTTAAAATTTCAGTGTTTTTGGATTGATTATATTATTGAATTAAATTTATTATTATTATATTGTTATTTTTTATGATTATTTATTAAATTATAATGTATGATTTCGTGTTTCAAATTTTAACATACCCGGGGTGTTTACTAGACTGTTGTTCAGACAGATTTCAGTGAGTTATTCCTAAAAATGACAGGCCTACAATAAAAAAAACTACATATTTCCATGCAAAAAAATGTACCGCTTTGAGCACAGAATTACTGATATAATCAGACCGCTAGGGAGGTTAACAAAGCTGTAGTCATCTTGAAGGTATGTTGTTTGGGGTTGTTATGTTAGAATACTACCCTGCGGCCCAGTCTCTGATGGAGGGGGATCATGCTCTGCTTCAGTATGTCACAGTACATATTGGCATTCATGGTTCCCTCAATGAACTGTAGCTCCCCAGTGCTGGCAGCACTCTTTGTACACCTCACCTGGTTGCCGTCACACACGCTTGACACCATCTGAACCAAATAAGTTTATCCTGGTCTTGGGCATATGGTCTGAGCACTGACAAGCTGAGCCCCCACCCCCTTCAATCTCTGCAGCAATGCTGGCAGCACTCATATGTCTATTTCCCAAAGACAACCGCTGGATATGAATATGAGCACGTGCACTCAACTTGTTTGGTCGACCATGGCAAGGCCTGTTGTGAGTGGAACCTGTCCTGTTAAACCCGCTGTATGGTCTTGGCCACCGTGCTGCAGCTCAGTTTCAGGGTCTTGGCAATCTTCTTATAGCCTAGGCCATCTTTATGTAGAGCAACAATTCTTTTTTTCAGATTCTCTCAGAGTTCTTTGCCATGAGGTGCCATATTGAACTTTCAGTGACCAGTATGAGAGAGTGAGAGCAATAACACCTGCTTCCCATTCACATCTGAGACCTTGTAACACTAATGAGTCACATGACACCGGGGAGGGAAAATGGCTAATTGGGCCCAATTTGGACAGTTTCACTTAGGGGTGTACTCACTGTTTGTCAGAGCTCCGGGTATGACCAGAGGTGTGTGGACTGACACAGGGAAATGCAGGCTTAAGGTATAGAGTAAACAAGACAATTTATTAAAAGACTAAACAACACAAACACAGTGCAAGGTAAACATAACACAGTGCAAACAACCCAACCTCCAACAGATAACCATATATACAAATCAAATGTAGTCGGGCAGGCCGGGTCGATAGCAAACGGGCAAACAGGGTACCAGGAGCAAGCGGAAGAGTGGTCAGGAATAGCCAAGGTCAGGACAGGCGGAGTTCGTTCAGAGTCAGGATCAAAGCAGAATCAGGATCAGGCAGACAGGATGCAGGTACAGGGGCTCATGGGAAACATACACCAAGGCACTGATCACAGGCCTGGCCCTGCTTAAATACACCTCCTGCAATCAGCCTCAGGTGATGGCCTGATTGCAGGAGTGAGATTCTGGCTGCTGAGAGCACCCGCTGGCCAGCCTTGGTACTGCAGCCCACAAGGCAGGTGAGTCCCACCACCATTGCCGAGTCCATTCCTGACACTTTTGTTGCCAGTGGTTTAGACATTAATGGCAGTGTGTTGAGTTATTTTGAGGGGACAGCAAATTTACATTGTGATACAAACTGTACACTCACTACTTTACATTGTAGCAAAATGTCATTTCTTCAGTGTTGTCACATGAAAAGATATAATAAAATATTTACAAAATTGTGAGGGGTGTACTCACTTCTGTGAGATACTGTACGCTTCAGAGAGAGACATCATTTTGCCCCTGTTCAAATCATTAGTAAGACCTTCTCTGGAATATGCAATTCAGTTTTGGGCACCTGTTCACAAAAAGGATATCGGCGAAATGGAGAAAGTGCATAGAAGGGGAACTAAACTGACAAGAGGCATGGGGGAGCCTGACTATGAGCAAAGATTAGCTGAATTTATTCTCTCTTGAAATGAGGCGATTAAGGGGGATATGATCGCATGTATAAATACATAAGTGCGAGCCTTGCCCCAGCTACTGCTTTCCATGCAGCCACCAAATTGTGGACTTGGTTAGAACATAATCTCTTCTCCCCTGAGGTCACCTCTTTGCCCTGGACTGAACCACCTCATTGACCCTCAAAAGACCGTATGCCCCTCATAGTTCATGCCATGCAAAATGGGATGCTTATTTAGGAAAGGGCCTGTTCTCCTCTAGGCCGAGCCCCCTGACTCCGTTGTTTTATATTGCTTCTATTCCCCCAATGATGACAAGTTCCAATTTCCTATGCTGGCACCAACAGGACAACCCTTTCTTGCGCCATGTTTTTAAAGGTCGGACTCGCCCTCCTCTTTCGAGGATACCACTGTCGTGTCACAGTCCTTCAGGTGCATGGCTGGAATACACACAACTGAAACACTATTTGGGGACGTAGTCCTTCATAGACTCCCTGACATGACTTCCCACTGATTTTGAATCTCTACTATCTCAGTCTTCTAGGCCTGAACATCCTTTATCTTAAATATATCAGATCCACTGAGGTTCATATCCAGACCCACCTCCATTTCTTTTGAAATGGGAACGGGAATTGCCTGTATCATCAGGCAATATGGAATGGAACAAATTACTGCCAAGTACATACAAGATGTCTATCTCCTCTGATGCGCAAGAGTGTAATTACCGTATCTTATCTAGGTCCTATCACTGCCCCATGCTTCTGCATAGAATCAATTCCACTATCCCAGGCACTTGCTGGTGCAGTTTACGGGGTCTTGGCAATGTAAAACATATTTGGGGTACTTGCCAAAAATTCTCCCATTTTGGGATAAAATCTTACTTTGTAAGATAAACTGCTTGGGGATAAATTCCCAAATTAACTTCAGATTATTGTGTTATCCATGCTGCCAGGCTTCTATAAACAAATTAAAAAGAGCTTAATTAGACCCTTTATTACGGTGGCCTGGTCTGTATTCGCTAGACAATGACATTTTACTGCGGCTCCATCGCTGAGTGAATGGGCCTGTGAAGTGAATCAGATAGACTATGTGGAATGTATGATTGCATGGTATGATGACAAGTCTGAATCCTATAACCTCATGTGGATAGTGTGGTCACACTTCAGATATTCCTCTGCTTTTGACTCATTTTTCTCTGCAAAAACCTGAGAATCTGGTTGCTCCGGGGGCTTCCCATGTGCACTGGCCATCCTTGTCCTTCCTATTATCTCTTTTTTTTTTTTTCTCTCTCTCTCTCTTTTTCTCTTTTCCTGCACTCTTTGATATGCTTTTTTCTTTTCTCTACATTATTTTATATCAGGCATTAGAATGATTTGCTTGCAATGATGTTACTGCAAGTGTATCTTTACATACTATGGATACATATATTCGGTCTTTTGCCCACGGATCTCCTGGATTTTCCTAATGTTTCTTTTACCATACTCTGGTAGAGATTATTGCACAATGCTTGTTTTGATAAAGCACTTGACATGTACAGTATGCCTTCTTAGCAATGACCTTTCTTACCTTTACATTACATTGTACTCTAAATGTTCCACTCTAGGTACATGTGCAGTTTGCTATGTTGGTGGAAAAGGATACATGTGAGTGTTTTTTTTTTTTTTTTTTTCCTGTAATGCTATAAAACTCTTAATAAAAATTATTCAACATAAATACATAAGTGGTACATATAGTGAACTTGGTATAGAGATATTGAGGTATTAACTTACAGGACATTACAGAGGATAAGTGGGCACTCTTTATGTCTGGATGAAAAGAGATTTAATCTCAACCAATGGAAAGGTTGCCTCAAGAACTAGTTTTGGTCAGCTCAGTAGATTGTCTTAAAAAAGAGACGGATGCATTCTAATAGGAGACGATTTGGAAGGCAAGGGGTAGGCATTTATCATGCAGAAATGCAAAATGAAAAAATGTTTCTCAAATATTATATAAAAAATTAACAAATTTGATGCACAGAAGGGCATCATTTTTAATCCAAATAAATTCCAGACTCAGGGGAAGTCACATTTCAGGAATATTTTCAAGATACCCCATTATAATGGTACTGATGCACAGCTCCAAATTTCATCTTTTTTAGGAGAGAGTATTTCTAACACGTTACAGTTACACCGTAGTATAGGATTTCATTTTGGAGGCAGAGAGAAGTCATATTTCAGCCCAAAATATTCAATTGTACTGTTTTTTTCACATATTTATTTTATAAATCATACAAATCAGTTGCACAGAATTTAATTATATTCCATAGGAGGCAATTGAAGAGGAAATAAAATGTTATTAAAAATTAGCCTTCAAAATGTATGGTATTTTTTTAGGCTACAAAATTCAAAGTTAGGGAATAAGAAAGGGTGGTTTCTACTTAAAGAATAAATGTTAAAACTCACTACTTTAATAAGCCTGTATCCAAGATAATTCTGGATTGTGCCAGTATGCTCAAATAGGGAAAAAATCAATACCAACAGCATGATATATGAATTAACTGATATCGCTTGCATGAAATTTTCAAAACTGAGGTGAGCAATGAGGAAACATGAAGTCTATTTTTAAAGGCAAATTTGTCTTTATTATGTTTTCAACAGTTTTTACAATACAAGGCATGGAGGAAAAATGAAAACAAGTACAAGTAGACATACATAAGAAAAGCCATCGCACAAATGTGACAATGATCCATGTGAATAGGTGAAAATAGTTTCATACAAAAATAAAGAAAAATGTAAGGATCAATAACAAAATAGCATGTATTACGGAGATATGAATATAGTGTCGAGGAGGGCATCCTCGACAAGATGTAGGAGACAAAATGAGCTAGTTCCGTATAAACAAGAATATGAATCTGAATCCAAATGAAAACAAAACAAGAACAAAAAAAAAAAAAAAAAGGGAGAAAACAGAAGGAGAAGAGAAAAAAGGAGAAGTCAGTTGGAGAGATATAGAAAGATAATAGAGGGGGATTGGGAGACGGGGACAGCAAAAAGCAGGACCGAGGTTGTCTTCTTCTAGGATCCCATCAGGGTGACCCCATCAGCCGCATCTGATGTGAGACGCGGGGCCACACAGGTGGACCCCCCGGAAAAATTGAATCGGGGGAGCAAGCACAAATCAGTCAGGGCCCGAAAGGGGAACACATCTCACGAAGAGTCGAAGAGGAGGAGAAATGGAGCCAGACCGACCACGGTAACTTATGTTTATGGTAGGTATCATTGGCAAATGCCAGCATTTCCTCCATACGCATGATATCATTGAGCACGGAAACCCACAGCGAAAGAGTTGGGGAGGTGGTCATTTTCCAGAAAAGGGGTATCAATTGACGGGCCGCAGAAAGAAAAAAGCGCAATAGGCTTTTCTTTTGCTTTGCCAATGAGCCCAGCAATATAGAGAGTAGAGCAATCTCTGGTGCAGAGGCCAAGGACTCACCATAGACCCTGTTATACACTGTAAAAACCTGTCACCAGAATGGTTGTATTTGGTCACAATCCCAC